GTTGCCTCCTTCATTGCTTGACACTCCGTCATCTCGTGGCTGGTGCTCAAGCACCAGTCGCACGACATCACCGCCCTTTTTCCTTGCCTTTTATCTTCAAGCATAACCTCAAGAAATTTATCCAACTTCACCTCTAGCAGAGCACTCGCTCCCACGCTTCTCAATACCCTATCATTGCTTCTCCTTCCACTTCTAGTCAACCCCCAATCATACCCCCTAAGGGCCATATCTTCAAGTATCTCGGTTATTTGGGGCGGAGCCATATTCATCAATTTCCCTTGACACAAGGAGTCAATGAGGATCTTATCTTCTTGCATTAGTCTTTCGTAGAAGGTCTCGATCTGAAACTGTTCTTCAAACCCGTGGTGAGGGCACTGAAGAAAGTAATCGGAGTACCTCTCCCAAGCATTCCTCAAGGTCTCGTCCTCTTCTTACTCGAAATGGGTAATCTTCTTTCTCCACTCCGCCATCTTCGAAGGCGGGCAATAACAAGCCATAAACTTGTTGAGGAGGTCATCCCATGAGGTGATTGACCGAGGTGGGCGGTTGTTTAGCCACCTAAGTGCTTTCCCCGAGAGTGGGTATGGGAAAAGCCTTAGTTGCAAAGCTTCGGCCGACACACCATTGATTTTCAAGCTCCCCACGAGCTCCGGGAATCTCTGCACATCCTCTCTTGGTGACTCGCTCTCAAGGCCTTGGAATAGAGCATTACTTTGTATCATAGTCACTAGAGCCGGCTTGATCTCAAAATTATTTGCCGCCACCGGAGGATGTAGGATTGGCGATTGAATGTCCGCCGGCCTTTGGGCCATATAGTATCCCATCGTCCTCGGGTCTTCCTCTTCCCCCGCCGTATCGTTCAACTGGCGGGCTTGAGCTGCATCTTGCCTTTGGTTCCCCACCATTTCCACTACAATGACGGGTTCCACTTCCACTTCTTCAACCTCTTCTCCACTAACACCGGGACCCAAATGTTGTCCCCCTCTTTCACTCCTTCTCCTTGCCTCGGCTAGCTCTCTCTCCCTTGCTACGAGCTGGAGAGTTCGGTTTATGTCCTTGTCAAGTGGTAACAAAGGTGTCGGGTTACTCCAGGTCATGCACCACCTACACACAATCGAAAAACACCAAGTCTAGCACAAGCAAAGCACACACACTTGCAAAACTGGAAATTAAAAGCTAGATTAACAACCAACAACTTTTTCAAGATAACAGACCGTTGCCCCGGCAACGGCGCCAAAAACTTGACTCGCCCGAAACTACACCACAATAAAATCCCAACTAGAGCCCAAGTTTTTAAACTCTAGATGGGTGCAATATAGGGCAAGTATTTAGATATCGACCCTGGTCGGTCCGTCTACCCCTACTTCAGTTGTTGTAATCATTATCTAGCAACAAAGTTTTGGTTTAAAAGTTTGCTAATTAAAATCCAATAAGGCAAAGGTAAATGGTTTTGAAAACTCATTTGTGGGAGGATCACTCGGGTGTCGCTTCCCCCTAAATGCTACCATGATATGTGAATTGGAACGATTGCTTTGGGCACGGTAATTGCGAACCGCAGAGGGATGCATATATGGTCAGAGACCACAATCTCAATTTCTAAACCGAGATAATCATAAAAGGTCGTGTCACTCGACCCTCTCGTTTTAGGCAATCGGTAATTGGCTTACTCCCTTACTCAACTCAAAGGTCGGACGACTTACTCGCGATTAATCGATTTGCTTAATTCAACATTGAGGGTTGCCCTAAATTAACCTAGTTAGGTTGCTTAAAAAGCTAAAGGAAAACCAACTCGATTGAGTCTCCTATAGAAGGGGGATTTTCCTCTCTAAGCTAGGTTAAGGTGGCTAATTAGATTGCTAGCACCAACATGCACAAACCTAAGGGTGCTAAGCACAATTATGCACAATCCTTAGGTTGCTAAGCACCAAAATGCACAAACCTAAGGATGTTAAGCACAAAACATGCACAATCCCTAGGCTGCTAAACACAAGCATGCACAATCATGATGAATAATGCCTCAATCATTGAATTAAACAATACCCAATGACAACCATTCAATTCACATAAAAGAAAACTACATGGTAGAATTAAGGTTTCACAACACCCCAAGTGAAAGGAGGTCTACTCCATGCTAGAAAATGGGGAAAACAAAAGGGGAAGAAGTGGAAACCATCTTTGAGGATGCTCACATTCTTCTTGGCCCTTGAGTTGAACTTTCCTTGGAGGAAATCTTCCCAAAATCTGCCTTGAAGCAAAACCCTAGCCTTCTTCTCCCTTGGTTCGTGTTTCTCTCCTTAGAAATCTGAAGAAGGCTTTTCACACAAAATGGGTTCTCCCCTCTCTCCTCCTTTCAGCTCATCTTTTAAGCCAGAGACGAGCTCAGTTCATGGCCTGAGTTCACGGCCTGAGTTCACGGCCGTGAACAATGAAACGCGTCCGTGAACTTCCTGGGAAAGCCGTGAACTTAACCATTTTTCACCACTTATCCCGGTTTTCGATCCTATTCGCCCAACTTTCGACTCCGAGGCTGGTTTCACCTGTTAAATCCTGAAACATGCTAAAACACGAGCAACCTAGAGTAAAACCAACCTTTTAGGAGCGAATTTGGCACAAACACCTAAGTAAAACGGGGGCAACACATGTACAATTAGGCCCGAATCAGTGTATTTTTTTCAAATACCATGTAAGAGTGGGTCGACCCGCCCCTAATCCGGACCCATAGTAGCATGGGACGAAACATGGTATTGAGATACCCGCCCCGACCCATTGTAGATATATTTTTATCGTAAAATTTTCTTAAAACTTGTATAAAATAAATTTTACTACCCATAACTAGGGGTGGAAATCGGTACGGTATCGGTATCTCAATACCAAATACAAAAATCTCGAATACCGAATTATACCCGAAAGTCAATCCCAATGCAATCCCTAAATAATTTCGGTATCCCAATCGGTACTTCGATATCCCAATCGATATTATCGAATACGAAATAAATTACATTTGAAATAAATAAATAAATATATTAATTAGTTTTGATTGTTTAATTTAAGACAAAGAACTAAGCAAAGAGTCTTGAGTTTGCCTAGAGCTAGGATATGGATAAGGAGAATGAAAGAGAGGTGACATATCAAGTTCATGTTATTGGTAATCTTTAATTTGACAAATTGAAGGTTGAGAGACGACTAATACTAGTGTTTGTTTTTTGGTGTTATGAAAATATCAAGTTATTAGGTGAGAGATGAGAGTGACTTAAATTGGAAAGTCAAAATTGAGTTGGATGGGGACTTTTGAATTGTGAAACAAAGATGAAATGATCTATGTATAATTAAATGACACTCTTGGTGGTTGAGGGTCGTGTAGTAGTGAATGAGAGAGTCTAGTTGAGAGGATAAAATACACACTATCTTATATTTCGGTATTGTCGGTATTTCGGTATATACCGATCTCAATCTCGTAATCCCTAATACCGAATTACAATTGAAATTCAATCTCAATCCCAAAAAATAATATGTGTATTCGATAATACCAAATATAGACAAATTTGATATGGTATTCGATATATCACAAATACCGGACCCATAGTAGCATGAAACGCAAAAGAATATAAGGGGTCGTTTGGTGAACATGATTTATGATATGGATTCATTAAATCTAGAGATTTAAAAGAAAGCCTTGTTTTTTTGCCACTATTAACCTATCAGGATTTACGTTTTGGTATTTCAAATCTCTGAAAAATAGAGATATCAAATCTCTCTAAATAGTAGAGATTTTGAATCAATAATCTACCGGAAAAAGTTCCCAACAAATTCCTTATTTTCCTGCTATTATCTCTCTCCTTAACCTTCTCTTTTTTACCGGCTTTCTTTACCGATTACTTTGCTGCAGTTTTTTGTTGGATGATATTATAACAGAGCTTTGAGCAATTACTGACCATTACATGAGTGTTTGATGTTTCCTCAATTCTCATTGTTATGCTTATTTCTCATTGATGGATCATCAGACAACAAGCTTTGAATAAATATTGTGACCTTCAATTAACGTGTGGTGGCTGGTGTTTCCAATTAAGCTGCTCCATATTTGCTTAATGAGGGTCGTGATTTGGAAGGAAAAAAGGACGTGACGAACGGAGGGAAATTCAGCAGGAAAAGAAAATGGATTGGTTTTGCCGCCTAATTTATTGAGGTCAAATTTGTCCTTTCATTGAAATTTAGAATCTATATTTTTCACTAATCACAATTACCAAACATTGAACTTTTCAGAATCATAATCAAACAATCTAAAGAGTTAAAATCTTTAGGGATGGGTTAGCATGCTAACCCTTTAAGGGGTTGGTTTTTTGACACCCCCCTTTTAATTGGTCAATTTTTCATTAATTATTGACAAGTATTAATGAAAGTAAACATAATAAATGTTCTGTTATTAAATACAAAGTAAGCATTAAATACACCACATTAATTACCACTTTATTGGTATCTGTACCACTGCACTGATACTCAGATATGACATTGCTACCAGTGCACTGATATCGCTACCAGTGCAGTGGTATATCTACCAGTACAGTGGTACAACGTATCAGTGCAGTGGTATATCTACCAGTACAGTGGTACAACGTATCAGTGCAGTGGTATATCTACCAGTACAGTGGTACACCGTATCAGTGCAGTGGTATATTTTTTGGAGGTGGTCGGAGGGAGTCTGCCGATGGAATTTTCACCGGAGAAGTGTGGCGGTCGGAGGAAGTCTGGTGGTCGGAGACTGCTGAAAAAGGAAAAATAAAATATAGTGAGAGAATTCCTAATGTGTATTTAATGTGTGTATTTAATTCCTAATGTGTATTTAATAGTGAGAGAATTCCTAATTAATATGGTACATTTAATTCCTAATGTGTATTTAATGTGTGTATTAAATTCTATAGTTGTATTTAATATACTAGGGGGTGTCATTTTTCCAACCCCTAAGGGGGTTAGCATGCTAACCGAAGATTTATTAGAATCTCTTGATTCAGATTCTCATTCTCCAAACGACCCCTAAGTTGGAAACAGGGGGTGATTCGTAATTAGATCCATATGCTGATATTTTCGACCGGACTCGATCGGTTCTGTTCCTGCCCCACATTCGTTCCGTTTCTGTATCTGGTTGCCCTCCAACTCCTTGTCGATCTCTTTACCTTCAATTCCCTTGGGAAACCCTAACTTCTCCAATCTAGGGTTTACCACGCTATACCGTTTCCTTCTATAAGCATGTTTGCGCCATAAGGCTTGAATTTTCGGTCGAGAGAGGTACAGAGGTTTTCGTTTCGCACTCTCAAGTGCCTGTTAGAAATAAAATTATGTATCATCGCGATCGGGGAGGAGCCGGCAGCGTTCCATCGAGGTCGGAGCTTGTAGGAAGACCCCTCGATCGGAAGCGCATAAACGATGCGCTTGACAAGCACCTAGAGAAATCGTCTCCATCAACTTCGAGGGCCTTGAACAGCAAGGACAAAGAGCGGTTGTCCGTACCATCCACTTCTGCGGGCAAATCGCAGCTCGATCATCGCGATTCTCGAGCAGCTTCTCTATCCGAGAACAAATGCTCCGATGGTAGGTTTTCTGGTTGGATATTCGTGAAACTGATTATGGGTTTGCCATTCTTTCATAGCTTTCGACCAAACACTTTTGCTCACTTGTTTTACAGAAAATTATTTTATTTTTGGTATATTTAAATTTGCTGTCAAGATTGCCAAGGCAGCAATGATTAGAAATTGTTGAAGCAGTCATCCTGTCCCACAGCTTGTTGTTCAACTGCATCTCTACTCTATGGTTTCAGTGGTTTCCATTTGGAAATGAGTAATGCATTGATTAATTGCTGTCTTCTCCATCTAGTAAGAGTTCTTCGCACACAACGTAATCATTTTCATGTCGTTGGGAACCTAAAATGTGCCACTCATGAAATGCGATGTTACCCGTTAGCTTCTTCCTTTCAACTTGTAAACTGTCTAACGAGCCGAATGGATTGCTAATTCATAATGTGGTGACCTCAACTCTTTTACCTGTTTTTGATGAGTAGATTACCTTGTCCCTTGCTATGCTTTGTTACATCAGTTCAATTAAATCGGAGTACTTGCAATTAAGTCTAATTTGAATATGTATTTTTGCAATGAAACTTTCTTGGCCTGATCTTTTGTAAAAAGAAGCATAGTGAGTGAATCCATTTTGTGCCAATAATAATTCTTCGTATAATATTGTGTCCAACAAGTGTTCTTATTTAATTAGATTCCAGGGGCTGATCTAATCTGAACAGGTTGTTGTGTCATGGCAGGTCGCTAGTTAATATTCATCTCTTTTCTATTGCCAGGAAAAATGGAACTTTAACCCTTACATTTCTGACTTGGCTACTATTTGGTGTGCTGCAGAGGAATCTGAGACTGATAGTGAAGAGTCAGATATAAGTGGCTCCGAGGGGGATGACACATCCTGGATTTCATGGTTCTGCAACCTTCGAGGAAATGAATTTTTCTGTGAAGTGGATGATGAATACATCCAAGATGATTTTAATCTTTGTGGATTGAGCAGTCAAGTTCCGTATTATGATTATGCACTTGATCTTATATTGGACGTGGAATCTTCTCACGGTAAGCTTTGCTGAATTCATGAGGCTTCAGTTCTAGCCTATGAATTTAATTTGTGGTCATACGTTTCTGTCAGCTGTTATAGGAGTTACTGAACTTTTAACACAATTTTGTTTTACCCTTGCTAACCTACAGTTAGGGGTGTTCAAATGGTTATCATGGTAATTACAAAACCAATAAGTCTAAATTCTATTAATCCTGGAATACAATATTATAACTAAACTATCCAAACTAATGCAACAACCAAATTAACCAAATTAAAGTTTAATCGGTAACCAGATTAATCAATATAAAATCATATTATCATTATTGAGTGAGAAAAATTTTCCGGTTGATGATCAATTCACAATTTATATACAATGAAAAACATAACAATCAACACATAGCTATAATTAACCCTTAACATAAATAAATGCAACTAATACAATTATATTCAAGACAATAGAAGTATTCACCTACCAAAATTTTATGCAATGGTATAAAGTTAATGAATTGTTGTGTTTGTGGGAATTGACTTAGTCTCTTAGCAATTATCATAGGGTGAATAAAACATTTTTTCAAGTTTTCATCCAACATAATGTATGAGTTTTCATACAATATAGGAACAATATTGATCTTGATTTTTTTATGAGCTTAAAATAGAGGAACGTTTGAGTCTTGGTAATAATATATATGACTAATTACTTAATTGGTTAGTTTGATTTCATTAGTTATGAGTGTCTGAAACCTAACCAAACCACCTAAACCAAACAAGCTAAAAATTTTAACCAAACCAAACCATACCAATTACCCAAGTTAATCAAACCAAATTATCCAAAATAGTATAAGCTAAAACGGTTACCACGATTACCACTCCATTTGAACACCCTTACCTGCTGCAGTGCTTAGCACCTAATCTGAAATTGTTTTCTCGTGTTTAGTTGCATGAATACTTCATTTTTTCTTTTGAGGAAATTTTTTCTTCGAGGTCGTCTGGAACTTGGAATTTTAGGGGTTGTTAGCCACTACATGTAATCATAACAATTCGTTGTTTTTTTTATTATTATCTTAAAATGATACAGAATGCTTGTATTTAAACAACAGATGGGACCACCAGAATCATTCATTATGAATGATTGTCAATCTCAACGTTTAGCAGAGATTGTGTTTGAGGGATTGTTAGCATACTTTTTTTTTTTTCTTATTCTTTGAGGGACCACCAAAATCATTCAATCTCCAAACAATGTATTTTTCAATATACATTGAAACAATGCATCTAATTATAATACATACATTGGTTAAATACATCAATTTTGAGAATCCTAACTTCCAAATATGCCCTTAAATGATGTATTCAGTCAATACATGTACTTAGGAGAATTTGTCTTTTTTTGTCTTAAATCATAAATTTGAGTAGAAGATGAGACCACTAGAATCATTATGGATGATTGTCAATCTCAACTTTCAGCTGAGATTGTCAATCACTCATTTTTTATTCCTATTTTTTTGAGAGACTACCAAAATCATTCAACCTCCTAACAATGTGTTTTTCGAATTGATACATCGATACAATACATTTAATTAGAATACATAAATTGATTAAATACATCAATCCTAACTACCAAACATGATCTTCGTCTTTGTATTGCCTAACCTTGGACAATCTACATAAGTGCGTGGACGTTTTTGTGAACTCATTTCCCTATTAATCATTAAGTAAATCCAAGAGCGGGACTTGATGTGCTTGGGTAATGTTCTTGCTGTAAACCTTATTGCGAAATGATATAAGTTAATCCCGTGGTTTAGACTGTGAGGCTTGTTGTGGAAGCAAATAAAATATTACTGGGTTGAGATTTTAAAAAGTTGGTTTACTGCAGCGCAGAAGATACTCTTGTAAGAAGAAAAAAAAAGAGCCCCTTTAGTTTGACCTCTTATGTTTTTATATTTAACACCTATGATGGATTGTTCATGCACAGGTGATATGTTCACTGAAGAGCAGAATGAGTTGGTGGAGTCAGCAGCAGAGATGCTGTATGGCCTAATTCATGTGCGTTATATACTCACTAGCAAGGGCATGGCTGCAATGGTATAGGCTTTGTGCTGAGATGCTTTCCTCTGCTTTTCTTCAGTTTTCTTTTTCACCTGTGTTTGGGTATAAGTTTGGCTGTCTGCAAAAACATGTACAGTTGGAGAAGTACAAGAACTACGACTTTGGGAGATGCCCAAGAGTCTACTGCTGTGGACAGCCCTGCCTTCCAGTTGGCCAATCCGATATTCCTCGTTCAAGTACAGTTAAAATATACTGCCCAAAATGTGAAGACATATATTACCCTCGATCAAAGTACCAAGGCAGTAAGTGTCCTTTGTTATTATTCGACAATTGTTCTTTTGCCTCTACTCTCTACCACTTGTGCTTTCTGTGCTGTGTATCTTTGATGTAATTGGTTAGCTGGTTTTCAATGACGTATGCACAGACCTTGATGGAGCATACTTTGGGACAACGTTTCCTCACTTATTTCTGATGACGTATGGACACTTGAAGCCACAGAAGGCAGCGCAGAGTTATGTGCAAAGAGTTTTTGGGTTCAAGATCCACAAGTCCTCCTGAGTTCAGGACGAGGGTGGTTCACATTCAGCTGTTGGAGTGGCCGAGATTGATTCTCCCAGCAGGCTTTTCTGCCGAACAGGTTAGTAACTAACTGGCGCAGAGGGAGTGGGAACTGAGAATGGGTCGTCCAATCAAAATCGGAGGCTGTAGTGTTATTTGTGAAATTCAACGTATTAGCATTTGTTATATATTGTTATTCGAATTTCGAACCCTTTGTTTTTTGCTGAAAATGAATCTTATTACCTTGTTTCTGTTTCTGGCTTTGTGGGTTTATTTCATGTTAAAGCTGAGAATTGTATCTAAAGCGATTTTGTCAAAATTGGACTGGATATCGGCCCATAAGAGATTTAAGGTTTAGCATTTGTGATAAAATATATTGTCGCTAAATCATATTTCTGAAAATAAATACTAATTCGAAATCTGCCAATGGAGAGATTTAAAACTTTACCATTCATTTATGTTGAATATGGTGCCGTGGTTTCATGAATGATACCATGTGAGCTATAGAATTCCTTGAAGGGATTAGAGTCATACTTTCACTACAAAAAAGACTGGCAAATGTTACCAGACGATTGGCGTCACAAAAGGCCTATTCTCGTCACTAAAAGTTTTTTCTGACGAAATATGGTCGTTAGCAAGTCGTGGGGTAAAGGTCCGTGGGTAATAGTCCAAAAAAAATTGGTGTCATAAAACTATTTTTTGTGAGGATAAATTATCCTCAAAACCCAATTTATCGTTGTCGGAAAAGAAATACCCTTGAGGAAAAAAACTTGACGAAAATTTTTTGTGAGAGAGGAAAAACTATTTATAAGGAAATTATTTTGTCAGTTTAAGTATTTGTGAGAATATTTTTTTGTAATAAAAAATATTTTTTGTTATTAACGCTTTGAAATTTCCATCCCCAAAATACCCTTATGTGTTTTTGTGATGACTTGTTTATTGTCAGAAAAGCTTGTATAATTAGGCGAAATTGTTTGTTCCCAAAATACCCTTTTGTTATTTCCGACGAGTAAAAATCCTCATGAATGGAGAAATCCTTAGAAATGAAAGTATTACCGACGCAATGATTTCGTCGGAACACTAGATAAATACATTTAATACCTGAAAACATAATTATTGTCTATGCATTTCCCAACAACAAAATAAATGATCATATATTAAAAACACCAACAAAATATTATTCAATGACAATTATTGTTCACAACTTACTATATACATTTATAAAAAAAATCAGAATACATTATTAATAAAAAAATATTAATTAAAAATAAAAGAACAATTCTATGTCGCTTCCTCTCCCACCCACGACTGCTGCCCTTTGCGATTTCTTCCTTCTCCAATGGCCAACCACGGCCCTATCCTCGGTTGAATCATCGTCACCATCGAGATGCATCTTGTGTCGCCTATTTCAGAGGACAAAAGAAACAATAGAAAAAGCGAGTCAGAAAACAATCACAGCCCAACCTAGAATCATTCAAGATCGACTAAGCGACGTTAGGAGCATACCAATCAGAAAACTCATCCTTCGACGTTGGCGGGTGTTGCTTCCCCACCACCACCGGTGACTGCTCTTCTCCCCTCAATTGAAACCCCAAAAAAATAAAATAAAACACCAAAGGGGTCAGAATCCGATCAAAAGCCTCGAGTATGCAATGCACCTTAACTTGGGTAACCGAAACGGACTCATCTCCAGAAAAAGCCGCCCAATTAAAAAAAATTGCGCAGTGCTGGCAAAGCTTTTCATCTCCCGCTCAATCAGCCCGGCGATCCCAACTTTGATCAAGCTTCCTACAGGTGGTATCGGCACTTTCTTACTCTGGGTGCTCGCTGCCTTGTCCCCCTACGGGTAGATGCATGCAAAATCGAAGGAAGGAGCGAATGAGGAGGAAACGGGAAGAGAGGCGGCCGCTGAAACTTTGGTTGGCTAGGGTTTATAGTCGATTCTCTAGGGGAGAAGGAGATGGTCGATTGAGAGACAAAAAGAAGCGAGAAGGAGAAAGACAGGTGTTTTAGTCGATTAAGAGTAGAGGGAGGGTTTCATCATTTGGAGGAGAAATGCCGAAGGAGAGATGGGAGGGGAAATAATGGTGAGCGGCTAGGGTTTCTTAGCCTCATCTCTTTCCTTATATAATAATACAAATTACAGAATGTTACATTTAAAACAAATTTTATTTTAGTCACTAAATTGTCTAGTAAGTAATGATTTAGTATATATATTATATTTTTTACTACTTTATGTGTCTCTATTTATGATTTTATTATTTATAACCTATCGGTTCTCTAACAGATTTTGAACGGTCTAATATCGGTTGGACCATTAAAGTACGAGCGGGTCATGCTCCAGTTCGGTTCTGACAACATTGGAAAAAACAGACTCATCTCCATAAATTCCCAACATGTCACTTATGAGTTCTGAACTCAACATGAACCAGTCCAATCCTCGAACAAATATCCCTTTTCACTCATAGCGATTACAGTGAGACAAATTAGACACTAGATCAATCAACGAAAGAAAGGATCATGATGTTGAATCGCTCAAAGGGGAAAACAAAAGTGGATACTCAATTGGGAATTGGAAACTTAGGGTAGCCAGAATATCACTTAAAATGGGTACAATGTATAATAGAAATAATTAAAATTTATTTTATTAATATTTAAATGATCCACGATATGTTTCTTAAATTCTTGACTGATTCTCGTTTGAGAATAGAGAATTCAACGTTGAATTATGAATTCGTAAACTCAGATTAAACAATTAGAGTTATTTGATTACTGTGTGTCACAAAATTCTCTACAATATGATGTCACAGTCACACAAGTAAAACTAGTGAACATGACGTGTTGGATTTACGTATTATGAATTAAGTACAAATGTTAATTAAGAATCTTGTGTTCTAGCCTGAACCGAGGTGGGTCCCAGGACCCACCCTCTACCAAACTGCCTCCGCCATTGGATCTAATCAAGTCAATCATCAATTTTATAGGATTCAGGATTCAGGTTCTGCCTCCGCCACTGAAGTAATTGAAAGCAATTTGGAGAATCGAACTCACGCCTTCTTGACCAAAACTAACGTACTAACCAATTAAAATGATGAGCTTTCATGGAAATTGATGTAGGCCAATTGTTTTTTTTTTTTGCTTTACAAATGATGCCTAAAATTATATGACAAAGCCATCGTCTTTGGAATTTGGTTTGTGAGCGAGGATTGTTTCGATTCTTCCCCTTTCTCCGTTTCCCTGTATCAATTTCTTTGGACTTCCTTCGTTTATTGCAGAGGAAGAAAGGGAATGAATCTGCTGGAGTTCCTTCGTTTATTGCAGAGGAAGAAAGGAATGAATTTGCTAGACTTCCTTCTTTTATTACAGAGGAAGAAAGGGAATGAATTTGCAGAGAAGCCAGAGAGCTCTCTATTGCTTATAGATTTTTGTTATAATAAATACTCAACGAAATATGAATTTAATATAAAATGTACTCAGTCTAACTGGTATGGACTTTGTTTTGTGAATAAGAGATCCATGGTTCGAGTACATCCATGACCTTTTCTTTAAGGTTATTATTAATTTCAACTCTTAATGTAACGAAATTTTTCTGACAAGTGAAATTTGTCAATAATGTTCTATATGTGACGACATTGTTTGCATATTATTGACGACATATAATTTGTGATGGCCATTTTGTCCAGACACTTTTTCTAACAAACTTTTACGACGACCAAATACGTTCCCTCATAAAAGGGTTTGTTTTTCTGAGAGATAGGGAGATTCCTAACAAATAATACTATTTCCAACAACATTTTCTAAGGAAAAATTTTTGTCCTCAAAAAATAAAATTCAGGAATTTTCCCCTCCTTTTCGGCATCAGAAAAACATATTATTTCTGACGCCTATTTCAAATTGGTCATAAATAATTTGTATTTGTGACAAAAGTTGAAATGTTCTCAGTAAAAGTGAGATGGTGTTCCTCGTATTTGCGAAATTGATTTTTAGTGACGAAAGTTTTGGACATTATTGACGAGTATTGATGTTTGTCACAAATAATTTACGTTTTTATGAGGACGACAAATTTTTGTCACAAAAAAGGTTATTTCCAACCAAAAAACAGTGTCGTCGAAGGATTTCGTCACTTCTGCGGTTCTGCCTGTCTTTTTTGTAGTGTTTGATCCTCTATCACTCCTAGTCTTTTTATCTTTTGATTGCACTGATTTTCAAATTCAACCACAAATACCTTGAATATATCAAAGGCTTCACTTTTGTTTTTCATCAAATAAACAAAGCAATAACCAGAGCAATCATCTATGAAAGTGATAAAGTATCTCTTGCCAGACCTAGTTAACGTCCCATCTAGTTCACAAATATCAGAATGAATCAGATCTAAGGGTTCTGATTCTCTACTCACATATTTATGGGGCGTTTTCGTTATTTTAGCTTGGCTACAAAAATCACATTTATCTAATTCATTCATTGAGAGTTTAGGGATATGTCCTAGCTTGCTTAAATTCTTCACAGTTTGTGTGTTCACGTGACAAAGACGAGCATGCCAAACATTCAAATCACACACCATGTAAACTGAATTCATCTTATTAACTTCGACATTCAACTTGAACATCCCATTACATGCATATCCCTTTCCCACAAAACTCCCATTCTTAGTAAGGGTATACAAGTCTGCCCCAATAGATTGATTAAACCCAGTCTTATTAAGAAGATATCCCGAAACAAGATTCTTCCTTATCTTTGGAGTGTGCAACACATCCTTGAGCATCATCTTCTTCCCAGAGGTGAAGTTTAGCTCCACTTCACCAGAACCAGCAACCATAGTGGTGTGAGTAGTCCCTAGCAGCACTTTCTTGTCAGTATGTGCTTCTGTGTATGTTTTAAACATAGCACGATTGTTGCATACATGCTTCGATGCACCTGTATCCAGCCACCATCCTTCTGAGTCACCGGTGAGGTTGACTTCAGCGATCATATCTATGATCATGGCTATCAAATCCTCTTCTGTCAAGTTAACCCTCCGCACTAGCAGGGTTATGCTTGTTCATGCACTTTTTTTTCTCCATATGACCCCGTTTACCGCAGTTATAGCAGATAAACGGTGGGTCATTCTTAGAGGTTTTGGCCATGCCCCTTTGGTTACCTCGAGAGGCACCATTCTGGTGGGAGCGAACCTGCTGGTTCTTACTCTTAAACCCTTTCTGGTTAGGTTTAATAGCTCTAGGGGTGGGTCGTTTAGCAGTGACCATCACCTCTTCTTTCATATCTTGCTTGTGGGACTCTTCCTCAATCCTTAGGCGAGTAATCAAGCTTTCTAGTGAAAATTCTTTGGTTTTATGTCTAAGCATATTCTTAAAATCTTTCCACGAAGGGGGCAGCTTATCAATAATGCAAGGAACTTGAAATTGATCGTCCAGAGGCATGCCTTCAAAGACGATCTCATGAGCTATTTTTTGAAGTTCGTGGGACTGAACTTCGACAGACTTGTCATCCACCATCTGGTAGCGCAGGTAGTGGCTGACATCATACTTCTTAGCTCCAGCCTCCTCCGTGTTGTACTTCTTTTGGAGCGCATCCCAGATCATCATTGCGGTGTTCTTGCTGTCTGCATAGTAGTCATAGAGATCGTCTGCCAGGCCGTTGAGGATGTAGTTCTTGCACAGGAAGTCATGCTCCCTTTCCTTAGCAGAAGCAGCCCTCTCCTCATCGGTCGCTTCTTCCGGTAGCTCGACGGGCATGCTGGTGAGGTAGTGTGCCAACTTCTTGGTCGTCAGGTAGAACTTCATCTTTTATCTCCAGCAACGGGAGTTGACTCCAACGAAGCGAAAGGGTCGATTGATATCGACAACACCAGATCCGAGCATGTTGTTCTGTTCAGTCGACATAGCAGCAGCCGAAAGTCTTAAAATTGTTAGGAACGGAACAACAACAAGAACAAGGTTACCGAATCTGTAGCTGAGTCGCGGACTAGGTCGCTCTCTTTAAGACGTTCGCGGCACTGCCCTCGATGCGCACGACAGACTATCAACCGATCGTCTCTAGGATAAAACATCTCCTCTCTATACTCGCGGTTTTGTGCGAAAATCCGAGTTCTCTGAACACTCTCTCTATTGTGTTTATGCTCGTATTGTGTTGTGTTTAGAGGGGATGGGGAGGCGGCTATTTATAGGAGCCGAAACCCTAAGAATATACCATCTTGCTTGGGGAATAAGTCGGATTAATTAAGGAAGATAATTACATCCTTAATTAGAACCCGTCTGTAAGATAATTCATGGCGGGATTATCCTTCGAATATTCTTTTTAATCGATTATCCTTAGAATATTCCTTCGAATAACCGATTAATAATTAATTATCTAATAATTAATTTCGTTGGAATTTCTCCAAATAATTAATTATCTAATAATTAATTTCGTTCATAATTTTTCCAAAAAATATATAGTCTCAAGTGAAACGACCGACCGGACGACGCGCGCGCGTGTGTGTTGGTCTGTTAGGTTCTCCCTCTCCCACAAAAGTGGGACACCCCAAGGGACATGCCCTTAGGAGAGAGACTTCTATCTTTATACACATTTCACCAAGTAAAACTACCAATGTGGTAGTTTTTCCAACTAGAGACTCTATAGCTTTCAAAGCTATTCATTCATTTCCAACATTTATTGCTAGGAGGTTGGATCGAGCATTTGTCAATATGGGTTGGTTGGAATACCTTTCTAGAAATGAAGTGAGGTTATTAGAACAAGGCATGTCCGATCATTGTGATGTCATGATAAATACATATAAGAATTTGAAGAGTTTGCCAAAACCATTCAAATTCCTTAAATTATGAATGCATCACCCATATTTTTCATCGTAGGATTGGACAATAAAAGTGATTGGCTCACCCCTGATCACTCACTACATGTAAAATGTTAAGAGAGCTGAAGATGTTGCTGAGAACACTAAATGCGGAAGTGCAAATTTAAGAGGATAAGCGAGAGCCAAAGAATTGAAAGTGGTTGAAGCTTAAGAGCAGGTGCTTTTTTTTTTTGAATAAAAGAGCAGGCGCTTAATGACCCATCCCATTCAACTTTTGAGGTGTAGGGTATTGC